AATAGATGAGAAGCCATTCTTGAGTTAATCATGAACAAAAGCACTTATCGAAGCGACCTAAGGGCGCCTGGGCCGAAAGGCTCAACACCCAAACTGTTAAACCAGGTGCTAAACAGCCAGTTTTTGAAATTTGCCTCAAGACGGCAAATTTGACAACGGCGAGATATAACGAACATGAGTGTCGAGAATATGGTGAGAAACTCTGATATAGCAATCTACTAGAAAAGCACACGCGGAATATCTTAAGAATGCGCCTTAAAAACCCATAGAAATGATCCGATGTCGGGCTAAATTCGAGCAAGACTAAAGCTAAACTAATCCCATAATAGGTAGGAATCAGAAAGCAATGCGTTTATCAGCCTTGGGCATGAGTATTGCATGCATAAAACTGGGAGCGTTTATGACACTAGTGGCCCTGATAGCGTTTTTAAACCACTGTTAGACATAAGAGCTTACAGAATTCAAGTTTCTTGGCATCGGGTTTCTTTTCTTGGTCGCTTCACTGATATTCCAGTCTAAAATGTTCTTGCCATAATATTCAATTTGCTTCAATCCTCTGGGCCCTGTTCTGAGATATTGGCGACGAATTCTTCCTTGACCCGCCCTCTGCTCCGGGCTCCCCTGTTAGATCAGCCAAACCGCTCACTCAGCAAGAGTGAATGAAATTCGATTCAATTTGGCCAGCAGCCAGTGCATACGAAGTTCAAGCTGATAAATAGATTCGGTTCAATTTTCTTTTCTGTGAGGATGTGATCGCATCACCTTAAGTTAACCATGGCTGTCGGTACATAATACGCCTTCGTTCTCCCCCCCCAAACCACACAGCCATCTGACATTGGAGTCTAGAGATATACAAAAGAACAGAAAAAACAAATGCAATTTTACATGTCAAAATGTTACACTATTCGCAAAACTGTTACAAAGTAGCCTCAGTGGAGCCAAACAAGAACTGAATGACATTATGTATAGGATCATCTCCCGGTTCGATGAGAAGCGCCTAAGGATGAGTGTACAAAGGCTTTTGTGAGGCCGTAAAGCCAAACGAAGATGGCACGACTAGCGAGATTAAATGGGTGGTTTTTAACCAGAAAAGCAGCATGGGAAAAACGGGAATTACAAGTTTATAGAACGACTAATGTGATTGATGGTTCGAAAAAGCGATAATGATAAATAGCAGCAACACAATATAAAATAGGTTTGTGCTGTTTTTACCTCGGCTATTCATAATGCAGTCCTGGAACAGAACACGGCAGACGCTTGGGATAAACACATAGGACTTCAGAGAGGATCTACACCTAGTAGCGACCTGCAGAAATAATTTTGGTTAAATTTAAACGCAAAACGTTCTTACGTTCATCAAAGCTTTTTGATCGTGACCGGGACCGTGAGTACCGGCCACGAGACGGGCTTCGATAGGCCCCACGCCTGAAAAGGAATCAAGGTAACTTAATTTGAAAACAAATGAGACCCAATAGAACAAAAATAAATTACCTGACTGAGGGACGCCCCATATAGATACCAGGAGTCGGGGAATGGGGTCTATCTGTTATGCTGTAATCGATCCTGACATGACGGCCATCGATTTTCATCCCATGGGCTTCATTTTTCGCTGCCTTCGAGTCGGATTGGTGTCGAAAATATACAAAACCAAAGCCACGGGACCTGCCTAAGTAAAAATTTTTTGAATAAATAAAAGTGGAAAACGAAAGGATAAAAATTAAGCAGGAGTTACCTGTATAGTTATCATAG